AAAGGACGAACTGATGCCAAAATCTACGTTTTTCGAGGCCGGAACGTCCCTTCTGAAATCCTACAAAAAGATCTCAGATTCCATCTTATTTCCACCTTGTTAAGAGCTGTTACAAGCTGCTGGCTGCTGCTGGCTGGCGGCTAGCTGCTGCACGGCTGCCGCTGCTCTTAGCCTGTTAAACACCTCCCGGCAGTAAAACTCCCTTCTGAAATCTTACAAATCCTACCAAAATATCATTTTTCCACCTTCTTTCCACCTCGTTAAGAGCTGTTAAAAGCTGCTGGCTGGCTGCTAGCCGCTGCACTGCTGCCGCTGCTCTTACTGCTACTGCTGGCGAACGCCTGCGAAACACCTCCCGGCAGTAAAACAGCATGGCCCTAAAGGACGAACCGATGCCAAAATCTACGTTTTTCAAGGCCGGAACGCCCCTTCTGAAATCCTACAAAAATATCATTTTTCCACTTTATTTCCACCTTGTTACAAGCTGTCAAAAGCTGCTGGCTGCTGGCTGGCTGCTAGCTGCTGCACTCCTGCGGCTGCTCTTACTGCTGCTGCTGGCGAACGCCTGCAAAACACCTCCCGGCAGTAAAACAGCATGGCCTAAAGGACGAACCGATGCCAAAATCTACGTTTTTCGGGGCCGGAACGTCCCTTCTGAAATCCTACAAAAATATCATTTTTCCACCTTATTTCCACCTTGTTAAGAGCTGTTAAAAGCTGCTGGCTGCTGGCTGGCTGCTGGCTGGCTGCTAGCTGGCTGCTAGCTGCTGCACCGCTCTTACTGCTGCTGCTGGCGAACGCCTCCGAAACACCTCCCGGCAGTAAAACAGCATGGCCCTAAAGGACGAACCGATGCCAAAATCGACGTTTTTCGAGGCCGGAACGTCCCTTCTGAAATCCTACAAAAATCATTTTTCCAGCTTATTTCCACCTTGTTAAGAGCTTTTAAAAGTTGCTGGCTGCTGCTGGCTGGCTGCTAGCTGCTGAGAGAAAATGAGCTATTTTAGCTACTTTTTCCTCATGGGAAAACACCACGGCAGAGAAGGACGGACAAGCATCAAAATTGCGACCAAAAACTCCCTAATGTAACTTCTGAAACCCATAGAAAAGGATTATTTTAGCTACTTTTTCCTCCTAATTGCGACTAAAAACTCCCTAATGTAACTTCTGAAACCCATAGAAAAGGATGATTTTAGCTACTTTTTCCTCTTGCTGCTGCTGCTCCTCTTGCTACTCCTTCTGTTCAAAAGACAGCCCCCGGATGGGAAAACACCATGGCAGTGAAGGACGGAAAAGCATCAAAATTGCAACCAAAAATTCCCTAATGTAACTTCTGAAACCCATAGAAAAGGATTATTTTAGCTACTTTTTCCTCCTGCTGCTGCTGGTGCTGCTGCTGCTGCTGCTGGTGCTGCTGCTGCTGCTGCTACTGCTGCTGCTGCTGCTGCTGCCGCTGCTGCTGCTGCTGGTGCTGCTGCTGCTGCTACTGCTGCTGCTGCTGCTCCTGCTGCTGCTGCTGCTGCTGCTCCTGCTGCTGCTGGTGCTGCTGCTGCTGCTGCTGCTGCGGTAGTAGTCCGAAACAAGAGTCAAAAGTATTATTCCCTGGCGCGCTCCCCCTTGCGTCTGCCGGGGTCGGCGGATATTTTTCAAGGGTCTACCCATTTTTATTGGTGGCGCGGTCATGCTGAAAACGCGCACTTTTTTGAACCTACCTCCTAGAGGCAGCGTTTGTGTGCATTTTATACCACGTACGTCAGTGTTTCGGGTGGGGTGGGGTCGGGTGGGGCTAATAGCGTTACTTGGCACTTGCACACCTACGTGGTGCTACGTTAGAGATGGGGTGGGGTGGGGCATGTGCCTTGCATGCTACGCTTGCACATGCCTTGCACGCTACGCGAGCATATGTTCGATGTCATGGTAACAACATATGTTGCTCGGCTTGCAAAATGCCTGGCTGCCCTGAAGGTGAAAAACTGTGATGATGTTGCAGCAAACCAGATTTCATCCAAGGTTGAAACATTGTGAAGATTTTTGTCATAGATGATGGCGCCTGTTGGCGCGTGTCAACGGTACGACCGAGCGTTGTTGGTTGGTTAATGATCTGTTACACCCCGCTTTGGATGAGCTACTTTTAACCAGCAACCCTCTGGGTTCTTAAACCCTTTTGGTCTTTGTGATGTTCCTACAGTGTTAGTTGATGAATATACGGGAATATACCATCATATATTATATTCCCAATCTGTCTCATATGTGTTCACTTGATATACTATCCCTTTCAATATTCATCCCCATTACCAGTAGTACCGCACAAGGCGGTGGCGGAAGTTTCAAAAATAGGAAACCTATACGAGAGATTGGTTGTTGTGAATCACGGATGGCATAGCGAATCCACTGATGGACCGAAAGGTGGTTGGAGCTGTGTTTTTGGAGTGGCTGCAATGGTTGCAGTGGTCACCTGGTCGGTCACATCACCCACAACTGCTGGATGTAGTGTGGTGTAGTGCAGCTGTAGTTGTAGTTGTAGTGTAGTGGAGTTGTAGCTGTGGTGTAGTGTAATTAGTGTAGTTGCAGTTGCATTTGTGGTGGTGTAATGAGTGTAGCGCAATGTAATGTAATGCAATGTGGGGTAGGGTAGTGTAGTGTAGTGTAATTGAGTGTAGTGTAATGTGGTGTGGTGTAGTGTAGTGGAATGTAGTGTAGTGTCGTGTAGCGTAGTGTAGTCTAGTGTAGTGTAGTGTAATGCAATTAGTGTAGTTGTAGTTGTAGTCGTAGTCGTAGTCGTAGTTGTAGTTGTAGTTAGTGTAGTGTAGCGTAGCGTAGTGTAGTGTAGTGTAGTGTCGCGTGGTGTAGTGTAGTGTAGTGAAATTGAGTTTAGTGTACTGTAGTGTAGTGGAGTGTAGTGTAGTGAGGTGCAGTGTAGTGGAGTGGGGTGTAGTGTAGTGTAGTGTAGCGCAGTGTAGTGTAATGCAATTAGTGTAGTGTAGTGCAGTGTAGTCTTATGTAGTTGTAGCTGTAGTTAGTGTGATGTAGTGTAATGTCATTAGTGTGGTGTAATGTCATTAGTGTAGTGCAATGTAATGTAGTGTAGTGGCAGTTGCAGTTGTAGTTGTAGTTGTAGGTGTAGTGCAGTGTCATTCACTGTAGTGTAGTGTAGAAGAGTGTAGTGTAGGGTACTGTAATTAGTGTAGCGTAGTGTAGCGTAATGCAATTGGTGTCATGTAGTTGTAGTTGTAGTTTTAGTTGTAGTAGTTGTAGTTGTAGTTAGTGTAGTTGTAGTGTAGCGGAGTGTAGTGTAGTGTAATGTAGTGTCGTGTAGTTGAATGTAGTGTAGTGTAATGTAGTGTAGTGGAGTGTAGTGTAGTGTAATGTAGCGTCGTGTAGTTGAATGTAGTGTAGTGATGTGTAGTGTAATGTAGTGTAGTTTAGTGTAGTGGGGTGTAGTGGGGTGTAGTGTAGTGTAATGTAGTGTAGTGGAGTGGAGTGGAGTGTGGTGGAGTGTGGTGGAGTTTAGTGTAGTCCAGTGTAGTGTAGTGTAGCGTAGTGGAATGTAGCGAAGGTGTAGTTGTAGTTGTCGTGTGGCGTATTGGAATGTAGTGTGGTGTAGTTGTGGTTGTAGTTGAAAATGCCACAAAACCTCACGTTTTGCTCACTTTTGACAAGGTGCACAATCCCTTGCGCCTGCCACCCGAAACGACATCTGAACCTCCAAAGTGGTCCGAACCCCTGGTGTTTTGAACATTTTGACTTCGAAATGTGCTTCGCACAACAACGGCGTGCACTTTTTCGACATCTCAACTTAGCTGTCCGAACCCCTTGTGTTTTTAACATGTTGACTTCGAAACGCGCTTCGCGCCACAACGGCGTGCACTTTTTCCACATCGTAACTCTTAAAAGTGCTCCGAAGCTGAGGTGTTTTGTACATTTTGACTTCGAAATGTGCTTCGCGCCACAACGGCGTGCACTTTTTCGACATCTCAACTTCCAAATGTGGTCCGGAGCTGGTGTGCTTTGTACATTTTGACTTCGAAATGTGCTTCGCGCCACAACAGCGTGCAATTTTTCATCTCTCATCTGGCCAGCTGGCTCCGCACCCGCCGCTTTAGCGAGCCTACTTTTCGGCCGGAGCCACAAATCATTGGAAAAACACCGTGTTTCGCGACTTTCCTACCTTTTCGCGCATCTGCATCTTCTTTCTTCTGATTCTTTCTCTTCTCTGATCTTCTCTCTTCTACTCTTCTCTTCTCTCTGACTCTTCCCATCTCTGCTTTTCATGTGTCCATATTGTCGGAAGTTTGACTTCTAAACCTCCTTCGATTACCCTTTATAATAAAATTAGATCACATCTGGATTTGCTTGGTAAGTACAGTACCCCAAAGTGCAACAGTTGTTTCTCATTTGCTTGTTAAGATCGTTCTTTGGGGTATACCGCCCCAGTCTCAGACACACCAAGTACCATCTTGTTGGTGATACATCCGTTTATAATAACAGATAGATACCCCATTGTATCCCTATAGCATGGATGGTTCTATAGCCACATTTTTTACCCACCTTTATATGTCCATTCGATCCACACCTGTTCGCAATGGGCAATTCCCATTTATAGATGAGTTTTCTGTATGTTCCATTGAAGAACCATTTAAAAAGGCTATTTGGATTGGGGATTCTCCATGAAATCTCATATGTTCATACATGTTCCATATATGTTCCAATGATATTCCATGTATGATATTTTATATATATACATAATATCATATATATATATATATTCCGTGTATTTTCCATAGATGTTCCATGAAATCCCATGAAATCCCATATTTCTGGGTGAAAAATCCTCCCCATGGCTCCCAAGATGCACGAAGCCAGGCGGCGAAGCTGCCGAAGCCCTGACCATGGCCTTCACCTTGCAGCCCCCGAGGTGGCGAAGTTACGGATGCAAGACGTATCAGGTGTGTGTATAGGCATGGGGATTCAGTATGATTTATATATTGGTGCTTAATGGATCTGACTGGATTTTGAAAACTGATCTATACTGATCTTACTGGATTTGATACATTGATAACTGGTCTGGCTGAATGTGATAATTGATCTTACTGGATTTTGATCATGGACCCTACTGGATTTTGATGGGGATTGATTTAACATTTTTAACCAACAAAATGATAGAACAATGGAAATATCATGCAATTGCAATCGGGATGAATTATACCGACCTCACTGCGAAGTCATTAGAATGATGGGAATCGGATGGGGCAACTACATCGTTATTCCAAAATAGTCCGAACCGGCCAAACTGTTCAGGCTAGTAGCGGCTAGTAGATCATTCTAATTTATGCAGAAGATGTGCACAAATGTAACTCATCAACTGCATACCTTTTGAGTGCTGATAGCCCCCACCCGTGACACGAAGTTCACCATTGGGCTTGGAATGCCCTGGCATTGTTCAGTTGTTGTCTCAAGATTTGACCGTCCACATGTCCTGCATCAATTCTCCCAGCTCAATGGCTTCTGCACCTGAGAAATCTGCCAGGTGGGCACACATGAAGGCAGAGCGGCATCTATCCTCGGGTGTTTTGGAGATTTTTATGCTAGTTTTCCGGAGAGCGCATACATACTTGATCTATTTAAATATATAGATTGTGATTGATATGTGTCTATACAATCTGAGTCGACCATCCGTTGTCATATAATCATCAGTAGCTTATCACCCTTGAGCTGACGATCCCTCGCAGCAGGTGCCAAAAGAACTCTATTCATCGAGTTGGTCTGACATCAGAGTTGCTCGGATCAACATGTCATGGTCGTGGCGTATGTCGTGGCAGCTTAGTGGCGGAACCATGAGATACTAAAAGAGGCAGACACGCACTTTAGGATGGTCAATTAAAGATGGATATGAGAAGTGATATAGGTGACATTGCATTACGAAAGATTGCCAATCATGCTGGTTCCCTTCGTCTTGAATTTTCAACCATACCCAGATGATCCCAGATGTATCGGCTGATTCCTGAACACAGCTAGCGGAGGAACGGGCCCATTGTCAGCAAAGAAAGGATCCCTACGTCCATTGGTCCATTGCCTCTTGCTAATCAGCTTTTCCCAGCCGGAGACTTTGCCATTCGAGTTAAGCCTGGATTGATCCATGAGTTGTGTCAGCGGGCTGCCATCACCAAGGAGATCCACGTGGCTGCAGCGTGACCTCTTTCGGGGCTGGCAGATGGTGGAGATCCTGCAACAAGATGCAGCAAGTCACCCCCAAAGCCTGGGATATATTGGGATGTTGTGGATTTGGTATCATATCATGCAAGCAAACCAGCTGAGAGTTGATAAAGTTGTAAGTTTGTGTACTTGGCTTGGAAGTGATGCACTGGTACAGTTGCTCAATGTTCTTAAATATTGTCCAGTTCTGCAACCTTTAGTTGCTTAACATGGAGGGAGTAGGGCCAAAAAGCTGCCCATAAATGTCTTCAAGGACGCCATTCGCTCGATAGGCTGCAATGTGTGATACTCCAAAGACGAGTGTCGACTGTGAGCTCAGCCTACGGTACAGATATGCGAACTACAGAAATATTTGATATTATTGATAAATAAAATTATATGGAGAAGTATAGAGACCCACGAAGAATGATATTTGAGGGCTTACGCCCAACAGCCGGCCAGGGGCCCCCCAAAGATGAAGGGTAAGAGAGGTGTTGGTATTGGTGTTGGTGGTGTTGCTGTTGTTGCTGTTGCTGTTGTTGCTGTTGTTGCTGTTGTTGCTGCTGCTGCTGTTGCTGTTGTTGTTGCTGTTGTTGTTGTTGCTGTTGCTGTTGCTGCTGTTGTTGTTGCTGTTGCGGTTGCTGTTTGTCTTGTTCTTGTTGTTGTTGTTGTTGTTATTGTTGTTGTTGGTGTTGGTGCTGGTGCTGGTGTTGGTGTTGTTGTTGTTGCTGTTGTTGT